CCAAAACCCCAAAACCCCAAAACCCCAAAACCCCAGAACTCAATATTACCAAGTAAAAATAGGCCATTAATTAATTAATATACATTTATGCATCAATTCTAATTTTATTAATATTCTTGCTCTACAACCTCCTATATTTTATTCTATAATTCTTGAGCTCCTTCCTCGTCACCAGACAATTTCATTTATTAAATGCCATCATTAATCTCTTTTATAGATGAATCCTCTTAGCTTAGATCTTTCACTAACTCTTCCTTTGCCTGATCAGGCTTGTTAATAGAAGAAGCTCTAACCGTAACATCGCTGTTCACCCCGAATAGCTCTTTCTCAAATAACTTAAGTTATAGAATAAATCCAGGATTAGGCTATGCTATTGGCCTCTTCTGTCTTGATAATTCAAGTCCATCTCTCAAATTGATTTTTTCTTTTACCATTAAGTAAGCTAGCACAAAAGATGTCGATCTTGATTTACCAGCAAAACTAAATTTACATTGTTATATCAATTTGTAAAGATAGAAGTATGCTTACCAATGAACGAGCACATTATTTTTCAAACCACCTTCAAGTACTTTTGAATTTTCACTTAATGCATCTGAGATAAATAAATAGGCCTGCCTAAAATACTTGCCAATATTTTCAGAGGGAGTATCAAGAATAGGCAAGCACATATATTTAAATTCCTAAAATATTTTAAGATCAAACCAAATATACTTACAGTAGCAAATCTTGGCTGAATTTTATCAGCACAAGTGAGAATATGCGTAATTCCATGTTTATTAAGACTATCTTTATTGAATGCTACCCCTACACTTCCCAAAAATAGATTAGGAATTATCTCAGCAGCTACATTATCCTCTCTAGTTAGTTTCATGGCAGTCATTGCTTTTATAGCAAGCATAAGTTTCTATATACGATCCATTGATTCATGACTTTTCTACTCTTTGCTTTTTTCTTCTTCATCTTCAATATTATTTTATTGTTTTTCCGCTTCAACCTCGTCATTCTTCTCTAATTTATCAAAGAATTCTTCATCTTCAACAAATTCTTCTTGATTATTGTATTTCTCAGATTTTTCCATTAATTAATTAAAATTATAATCAATAAACTTATCAAAAGTAATGAAAAATTCAAGTATATTGAGGTTATCTCTGGCTCTTCTAGTCTTATTTGTCCTAGTTAACGAGAGTTAATAAAAATTTGAATGGACTTAATTATTTTATAAAGGATGGTTGAAAGCAACAGCCAGTAAATTTGTACCAAGAGTGATTCCAACTAACATATTTGGAAAAGAAGTTTAGCCTAAGTATAAAACTTGCACAGAAGCTTGGAATGACATGCTCTACTATATGATTTTATTTTATGGAGATTGGTATGGAAACCATGGTTCAAATACAGTCGTCTATTCATTCTGGCAATATGGATGGCAAAGAGCACCTTAATGGTTTAACTTATGCTTTAATGCTTGAGGCATATAAATAATCAGAAAAGAATAATAAGGAGCATAAATGATTTGTTTGTATTTTCACTCCATTAATTGTATTATGAAATTACTATATGCTTAATTTATGATAAATTTTATTAAAATACTAATTATTAAAAATGATTTGCGATTGTTTGAGATCCACCAGTAGCATATGATTTAATTAATATACTAGGTATTAAAAGAGTTTGGATCCTATTTGCTTATAATAATATTTAAATTACCTAAATGAGACAAGGATTCGCCATCACCCTCGCCGTCGTCGGAGTTGCCGCTGCCGTTGCCGTTATTGCCCTTAACGAAAGCTACAGCAGCACCAACCTCCACGCTATGGAAATCACCCAAGACAACATTGACTTCGCTCAATACTTGGCCAAGCACGGAAAGAGCTACGGAACCAAAGAGGAATACTAATTCAGATTCGAACAATACAAGAAGAATGTTGCCTTGATCAACATCCACAACCAAGAGAACGGAAACACCTTCTTCCTTGCTCCAAACAAGTTCACTGACTACAAGCCAGAGGAGTACAGAAGACTTCTTGGTTACAAGAAAGTCGCCACCAACGACATTCCAGAGTACTCAACCTTCAACGAGTCTGATATCCCAGCCTCCATCGACTGGAGAACAAAGGGTGCAGTTAACGCTGTCAAGGATCAAGGTCAATGCGGATCATGCTGGGCTTTCTCAACTGTCGGTGCTCTTGAAGGCAGATACAAAATCAAGACCGGCAAACTCCTCTCCCTCTCTGAGCAAGAACTTGTTGACTGCTCAAAGAACGGCAACCAAGGTTGCAATGGTGGAGATATGGGACTCGCCTTTGACTACTTGAAGTCTACCTAACTTGAACTTGAGACTGACTACCCATACAAGGCTGTTGACCAAAAATGTCAATTCAACAAGGCCAAGGGTAAAGTTGGTGATTAGGGTCACACCAACGTTCAACCAAACAGTGTAGCTGCCCTCAAGGCTGCCATCGCTTAAGGTCCTGTTTCAGTTGCCATTGAAGCTGACACCTCTGTCTTCCAATCCTACGGAGGTGGAATCCTCAACAGCAGATCATGCGGAACCAACCTTGATCACGGTGTTGTCGCTGTCGGATACGGAAGCCAAGGTAAACAAGATTACTACATCGTTAGAAACTCATGGGGAGCCTCATGGGGAGAAAACGGATATGTCAGAATCGCTGCCACAAACGGTGCTGGTATCTGTGGTATCCAAATGGAACCAGTTGTTCCAAAGCTCTGAATGCGCTTATCTCAATCATCTTAAACCTAAGATATTCAATGATAACATAATTTATCCAATAATTCATCATATATTTCTATCTTATCAAACTTAATCATATCATATCTAGATCTATCTATATATTTTCTCTTAGATGTTCCTTATTAGTATTCTTATTACAGTAAAGTAAAGTAAATCGTTAGCTATCGCAAAATTCCTTAAATTACTTGATTTTTTAAGAAAGATTCTTCGATTGAATTCTAATTTTCTGAGTTATTTCCTGATTCGTATATTTAAGATCCAGTTTTCAATTATCAATTATTGATCTTTATAAATCAGTCCGGGGTTTTGGGGTTTTGGGGTTTTGGGGTTTTGGGGAGATCGGAAGAGCA